GAATGTTATTTATTTATATATAAAAATATATACCTTTAAATTTTACTCTTTAACCACTTTCCTAAATCAAAACTCTATTCAATTTAATATTTTGTTTTCGACATAAAAGTGGAAAAACAAATACTTTAATTAGTTCAGCAACTACTTAACGAGCAGATTGCTTAGAGACTTTTCTCTGGCCATTCAACCGGGCCGCAAGACAACTTTTTAATTGACCCAATTTCGGTTGGGAAAAACTTTTCTGTTGTTGGCCAGTGTTTGAGCACTTAATCTCTCCATTTGGCACGCACTTCTTTAATTATTTCTACATTTTGTTTTTCACATTTTTATTTGAAGAGTTCACTTTTTAAATGCGAAACGCACTTGAAACAAAGCCGAAAACTGAATAAACTGTAAAACAAAAAATCAAAAACAAAAACAAAAAACTGCAAACAGCAAACTCAAACAAACGGCCAAAAACTTAAATAATTTTGTGCAAGTGCAAGAAAAGTTGAGGGAAAACGCCAGAAAAACTTTTCGGCTTATCATTTTGCATTTGCCCCCATCTATTTTGTTGCTGTTGCTGTTGTTGTTGTTGTTGTCGCCTTTTGCCCGACTGACAGACATTGTCTTGTTGAAAAATTGCGCATATTTCCGTTTCCGTTGTCAAGCAGTTGCGTGTGAGTGTGCGTGTGTGTGTGTCAATGAGTCTGCGTGTGAACTTTGTGCAGCAGGTGGATGGGTACAGGGAGGGGTCATACCTCTCCGCACGACGACGACCTGTGCCTCAGTTTGTCTGGCTGCGTCTGTTGAAGTCTGTGCATAAATTAAAATAAAATTCATTTTAGCAGGCAGACACCTAAAGAGACACACACGCACATACACACACACGCACGTACGCATGTAGACTAAATTAAAAAGTAAATGCAACATAAATGAAAACTTTTATGCAATGCAATTTTTAATGCCAAATTGCGTGCACTAACTAAAACTTGCAAAAGTTCCTTTTAATCTCACATATATAGAAATATATATATATGTGTATATGCAAATTCGTTCAATATTCACATTTTTTTTTTTATTGATGAAACTTTTTATTTCACATTTGGTTCGCTTTTTCTCTTGACAATTTGTCAAGCACATTTGTTAAATTGTATTGCAAACTTTGCTGTACACATGTACACTCGTATATAAATATTTAAAAATATATGCATATACACATATATATGTATGTATATATTTTATATTTTTTTGTATCGACACATGCACTTGTCCCGCATGATATGTAAACGCGACGCGATGTTCAATCAGCATCAAACATTGCTGACATTTATTGTGCCAAAAACCCTTCAAACAACTCTCGCTGCAAATATTTGATGTATTTTCATTGGATCCTTAGGTTGAATGCCATCTAAGGGGTATATACAGTTGGTAGCTAGAGAAGTTGGACAGAAGATTTAAAGTAATGTAAAGTAAATTGAATCTTTCTTCAGCCTTACAGATCCCTAAAGAATATTTCCCCAAAAATTAAAAAAAAAAAAATAATAATAATAAACAAAGAAATTAAAATTAAGTAAATTGAATATTTTTGATGTGTGTAATCTATGGCTTAAGTTTATTTCGAATTGAAAAAATTCGAAATAAAATTTCGATTCGAAAATCAAAATTCCGAGGCAGTCAAGGGTTCAGATTCATATTGCCTATATTCTTTGAATCAAATTGAAAATAAAATTTGATTTCAATGCCCCAATTACACTTAAAATGCATTGATTTCAAGTGTTTCATTTCGGAATTATTCTTCACTTATATTTTTATAAATTTCTTTTAACTTAGCCTCTTTATAAACATAAAATATTCCGTCCACATTCAACGTAAATCGAAACTAAATTCTCATTTTCCTCACTTCCTCAACATATCTCTAACATCTCTCTCTCTCTCACTTCAATCGCACCTTCAATTTAAAATTACAGGATATCTGCCGCTTTCATCATTTCCAACTCATCGTAAAACAGTTAATTTTTGGCAGTGAACGCTGTGTAAATTTCTGTCGTCAATATGTGGCGTATATCCACAGACGACGATGACGACTGATTGCGTATACGTAATGTGACAGATGCGATGCGAACGAGCGAAAGAGAGTGAGAGAGAGAAAAAAGTTAAATAACATTGCGTATACGACGTGTGTGCGCAAAAATAGTTGCAAGTGCGGCACGGGGCCAGCCAGACAGATGTGATTTTTAATTTTACAATTTTTGACATTTGCGTTTGCATTTATATTAGATTTTACAAGGTAAAATTTGAAAGCACCTCTGCCACGCCCCGCTTTGCCAACCGTCTCCCTGCTGGTTGTCGGGTCAATGGAGACTGACAAACCGAACGGGTCGAGCGTTGCAGGCGTGACAAATGGGATTTGCTTAAACTACATATGTGTGTGTGTGTGTGTGCGGGTGTATGTGTGTGTGTGCGGGTGTATGTATGTTTCATTCTGTGTGTGTGTGTGTGTGTGTGTATTGCATGTTGCAACATATTCTATATGCCAACCACGCTCCATGGGGAGCTACTGCTACGTAACTCAACCGAAGGTAACGAAATTTTGCCAGCACACGTAGACACAGGAGTCTCTCTTTCTGTCTCGCTCTCTCGTCAGGAGCTGCGCTGCGGTTGTTAAGCTTAAATGTGAACTGTGCCACATCAATTTTGTGGCAACTCTGCATTAGCCATTAAGCCCAGTTTGGCCTGGGCTTAGGCGTCGTCTCTTCATCTACCTCTAATTAAAACATTAAATTTGCAAAATGTCTCAATTGACGGCGGGCAGAAGCTGAAGAGTGGATTGGAAACAAAAAATGAATGTATATACGTACATATAGATGTATGTATGTATATTGAAAGTCTGTAACATTGTCTTGGCCAGTTGCCTGCGGCATGCCACAGTCGTCGCTGCAACGTCATTAATTGCAGCGAAAGCAAGAACTTTGCAATGGAGTCAAGCAGACTGCATAATGCTCGTTGCCTGAATTAATTAAACTATCGATGTTATGTGAATTTAGGGGCTCAGGTGGAGGGGAGATTAGAGAACGAATCGTGTGAGAAGATATTCTCCAGAAAGTCGTCTACACATGTATAAATTGTTGTTGTCAAACCGTTTGACAAATGTTGAAGAGCTGACTGCACCAGCATCTATATAGACATAGCTTCTTCTATCCTTTATAGCACAACATGAGCTATAGTGTTTGTTGATTTGCCACGCCCTAATAGCAAAAATTATTAGACAAATCTATCTTCATGTTCGGATGGAGAGACGAACAGCATCGAGCCAATATACTCTCTTTTTTGAGCTCGTGAACAAGCATAAAAAACTAAAAGAACTGGCAAACTGCGCTCCAATCTACTTGCAACGCCAGCCGTTGGCAAATGGCTGACACAAAATGTTGGCAACAGTAACAGCAACAACAACAGCAACAACAACAACAACAACAACTTGCAACAACAATGTGGCCGCAGCTTTGCGCCATCAAATTAATTTTAATAATCATGACGTTTATTAAGCGAAAGTAATCATTATTAAAGACTTGCTACACTAAATTGTTGTAAAAATTAATTAAGCTTTAATGGGCTGATGTAGAGAAAGGGATATATACATATGCCCATTTATATATACACAAAGATGTTTATGTTTTAAGCATAAATGTAATCAATGTTCTGTTTGCAAGCAGCCTAATTTTATACTACAATCAAAAGGGGCGATAGGGCGTAGCTAAAAGCTTAAATTGCATGATTCATTTTATTTCACTTTAGGAAATGGCAAATGTTTTTACGACAATTTTATGTGGTTTTCAGCAATAAATTTATTTTTTTTTGGAAATTAGTCTAAATGCTGCAAGCTGTTCAGATTAAAAAGTTGAGCAGCGATAACAATGAGTGTAATTTGAGAGAAGTTTAAAATGTAAATAAACATTTAATAATATCAAGTTACATTCAAATAAAAAAAAAAGGAAAAAAAGATGAAATAAAATTTATTTGATCCTTTTCAATTCATTTAATTTTATTTATTATTATAAAAAAAAGTATCAATTACTGAAGTTAAAAAAAAAAAATAAATAAATAAATAAATTACACTAGTAT